ATTGATTGATTGATTGATTGATTGATTGATTATGTGCCATCAAGTCAGTGTTGACTCTTAGTGAGATATATTTCCTCCATGACGACCTGTCCCTAACCTGGTCCTTCAGGTCTTCGAGTGGCGCACCCATCGCTGCTGTAATTGAGTCCATCCACCCTGCTGCTGGTCTTCCTCTTCTCCTCTTTCCTTCTACCTTTCCCAACATTAGAGCCTTCTTTAGAGAGCTAGGTCTTCACACAAGACCTAGGAAGTAGGATCATTTGAGCCAGGTCATTGTGCCGACATTGTTCAAGGTCAGCTTCAGAATGTGTGAAATCTGTTAGGTTTTATCACCCATTACCATGGAGAGAAATCATGTGACTAGAAATAGAGATAGTAGAGACAGGATAGGTATTGGCAATGGAGACAGCCAGTTTCATGTCAGTATGGTTTTCTGCTGACTTAAGGGTGGATAAAAAGCACTTTAACTCAGTGGAAAGGTCAGTAAGCCAGTATCTTCTGGGTTTCCCATTGGTTGTTGTTGTTTTTTTCTTCCTGTCTTTCCCCTGTCTAAAGAAATGTATTTTGTGTAGATGCTCTTTGGGTACACTTGCCTTCAGTAGCTCCCACCTATTTATTTTATTCATCAGTAATTTATATCCTGCTCTTCCTTTGCAGAGCACAAGATGCTAGGCATGAAATTATTCTGTTTTATCTGTGCAATAATTGTGTGAGCTTGGTTAAGTGACTTGTCTAATTTATCAATCAATCTAAAGTCCATCAGTTCAGCTCTATAGTAGTGGCTTTTCCAGGCTGCACTGACTTGTTTAATAAGTTGGATCTATACAATATATTCATTGGTTTGTTGGTAATGTTGGTTTGATTTGGGTTTAGCATGTTGTGTGTAAACCTTAATTTATGGCTTAATGTAATATGTGCAAAGAACCCATTGGTTAAATTATGGTTTAGTATGAGATGTGAATTCAGTCAGGAAATTGTGTAAGTTAGTAGTAACCTGCCACTAGGCTGCCTTTTCTGTAATTGTTTTCATTGTACTGGTATCAAATTTAGGAACAGTATGCCTAAAGAAGAGTGATATGCTTATTTTAGTTATTTAAGATGCTTATTCACCAACTTTCATTTAAAAGTCCAATGGCATTTTATGATACCAGTATAAAATTCCAAGATGGCAAAAATAAAATATGCAATACACACAGTGGAGAGATTTCTGAAAAGCAGTATGCATTGTACCACTCAATATATTGTTTTCCTGGTACTTGAATACATTTCTTGGCCAGAGAGTTTACAGGAAGGCAGAGCTGTACCTAGTTTGCAAACATTTGAATGAAGTAGCGCTGTTAAAATACCTAAAGTGCACTTTCAGTAAGTGGTGGTGTAACCGTTGTTCAAAGCTAGTATTATCTGTTATGTCAAACTAGCTATTTATAGATCTCCTTTTAATCTCATGGCACTTAACATGCCAGAGTTTCTTGGTGAGGTTGCCTTTTCTCCTACAGGAAATTCAGGAATAGTCAAGAAATGCCTTTGCCCTTCCCTCCCGTTTTATATTATATTGAACCTAGAACTTTTTTTCAAGAGCTACAAAGTAGAGCTAATTATACTTGCTGAAATTAAAATAGGGAGGGTAGTAATGTGAAAGAAATAGAGCCTAGTATATATATGAAGTGAAAAGAGCCAGTTCCATCTAGTGGTGAAGGCACCAGGCTGGAAAGCAGGAGACTGTGAGTTCTAGTCCCACCTTAGGCATGAAAGCTGGTTGGGTGACTTTGGGCCAGTCCCTCTCTCTCAGCCCAACTTAATATCACAGGGCTGTTGTGGGGAAATAGGAGGAGGAAGAAGTATTAAGTATGTTCGCTGCCTTGAGTTATTTATAAAAATAATAAAGGCAGGATAAAAAAATCTAAAAACAAAACAAAACTAGATTACTGTTTGTAAGTTCCCTAAAAGTAGTTGTAGGTTTCTTCTCTCTGTAGTCTGCCTTGTGCTAGCTGTCCTTGGCTGCAAATCATCTTTCCCAACCTGATACCTTCCAGACATGTTGGACTGTTATGAGTCCTATCATCCACAATGGCTTTTGGGCTGGGGATTACTGGAATTACAGTTCAACATGATTAGAGGGGCCCAAATGAGGCAGGTTGCATGTTGGCATATATGTTAGAGGAAGTCACTGTTGATTCATGTTTCCACCTTTTTGGCAAGCACCTACTACAGCTCTAAATTGATTATACCAAATCCTTCCAGATATAATCTCTTTCCCCTCTACACACCCCTCTACACGCATGTACTAATTGCTTTCCATTTTTAGATTCTACAGGAAACAGAGCTCCAGTGTTTCCACCTGGAGGGCGAGCAACATCTGCAAAGCCTTTTTCACCTCCAAGTGGAGTAGGCAGATTTCCGGGCCCTTCTGGATTAAGAGCTCCAGCTCCAGAACCACAGAGAAACCGAATGCCTCCCTCAAGACCTGACATTGGCTCCAGGCCTGACACGGGTGCTCCTCCTGTGCCAAATACTCCAAGACCTATCCCATCCAGTCTATACAACAGGGGGCCTCCCCCTGTGCCAGGGGCCAGCAGACAAGCCAGCTTAGGGTTTACCCCTCCACCTTTCCCAGGAAATAGAAATCCAGGGTCTGGAGGATCCATTCGACAATCATCACCAGTTAGTCCTCCTTCTCCCTTCTCAAACAGGCCTCCTCTCCCTCCAGTACCAGGTAGACCAACAGAAGATAAGACGCCTCCACCATTACCTCCAACTGGAAACAGGCCATCTTTCAGCAGGGAAGCTTCCCTGCCACCTCCCCCACCTCAAAACCACAAGCCACCAATTCCTTCCACGCCACGGCCACCTGCAGTATCTCAGGTTCCTCCTCCTCTTCCCCCAAGTCGGCCAGGCCCACCTCCAGTTCCACCGACATCTGGCGGAAATGATGAAATGCCGCGGCTCCCTCAAAGGAACATATCACTAGCCCCTCCTCAACCTCCAAGTTTGCCTGGCTCCAGTCGTCCTGGGCCTCTGCTTCCTCCCCCAGTTGAGAGGCCACCACCTCCTGTAAGGGACCCACCCAGCAGGTCAGGTAAGATTGTCTGCATCCTTCCAGGGTGGGTTACTACAAAAAGTGTAATGACATAATTTGAATGCAAGGTTATGCAATATACATATATATCCATACATAGATAGTGTAGAGGGCAGAAGGCATGGCCTTCAGGGACAGGAGAAAGCTGCTGCCAAGACCATGGTCGGATAAAAGAGGACTGAGTCCAGGGCAGGTATGTAATCTATATAAACATCCCAGACAAGCCCCTCCCTAGTTTTCACAAACATAAAGGGATGGAGGGAGGGTGGGGGGAAGCAAATGTAGACTTGCAAGTTTCATTGTAATAGCTTTACAATAAAAGTAGTACTACATGACATTGGATTCCTAGTCTGATCTATCCTGAAGGGCTGACAGAGATATGGAAGGATGGTTGGGTGGATGGATATTGTTGGGTTCTTGATGTTCTCTGAGGTAACAACATGGGGGTTGGAGTTTGCTGGCTGTTTATATGTGGTAGCTTGTCTAACCAGCCTTGATTTATTGTTTATCTGGTGCTGGTTCTTGCTTATCTTAGTGTTGGTTAATAGGTGTGAGAGGAGGAATATGTTTAAGTCTGCCTTTTTCCTTGATCTTTTGGTTGCTTCCTTTCTGAAATGGTTTGTAGATGGAGCTTATTGCAGCGTGTCTGTTCATGGCTGATTTGTCAGAGGGTCCTGCCTCTAGGAATTCCCTTGCATTTTTGGATAAGGCTTGGTGTAAAATGCTTAGAGTTTTTCAGCTGAAACTCTGGTTGAACTTGTCAGTGTGTTAGAAACTTAAGACACACAATTGGCATGTCTTATGACTACCAGTTGACGTTCGTGGATGCTTTCGCAAATTGAGATTTCAAATTCTGCCTCTTTGCCCCAAGCCGAATTGGATATGTGTATATAATTCTGGGGCAGAGTTATGCATATAAAATAAATATACAAGTGGAAAAGTCAGTGTTGCTGAACAGTAACTCTCAGCAGCTCCTGCTAGCATAGCCAATGGGGAAGGATGCTAGTTTAGTAACATTTGGAAGGGCACAGTGGCTCCACAAGTATATCCCTCCATCAGTCATACAGTCACATAAACAAAGCAAGCATATTGCCACAGTCATACGAGCAAGGTAATGAATGAACTACGATATCTACACTGAAATTTGGCTGTCCAGAACTTCCTGATCATGCAATTCTCCCATCCCTGCTTGGAGAAGGGGCAGAATTGGTCTCAGCTCACTGATTTTATCTTCCTGGGGCTAATTATTGTTGGAGAGTGGCTCATATGGCTTGTTAAAGGTATGACTGAAGCTTGATTTTGTATGGCTGCCCAGAGTCACTTAGATAAGGTGGGTGGCCATGCAAATTGAAATAATAATAACAATAATAATGAGAACGTGTGATTTATATTAATACAAACAGCATCTGCAGTGGCTTTTTTTTTTTTTTTTGGTATCTTCAAGTCAGTCTTGATTCCTGGCAACTACCTGGACAAGGCCCTGCAGTTTTCTTGGCAAGATTTCAGAAGTGGTTTCCCCTTCCCTTCTTCTTCCCAGGGCTGAGAGAGAATGATAGGCCCAAGGTCACTGGCTTTGTGCCTAAGGTGGGACTGAACTCACAGTCTCCCATTTCTAATCCGGTGCCTTTAACCACCCCACAGACTGGTTCTTGCAGTAGAAATAGGGGATCAAAAAAGTCAAGATAGTTGTGGCAGCCCAATCAGAGCCCTACTCCTTTTGTATGTGCATTGACACTGCATGCTTGTATAAAGGAATGAGGCTGTGATTGAGCTGCGACAACTGCCATTTTGACTTTTTTGACACCCACCACCACAGATGCTTCCCTTTTCTTTGCTTATTAATAGCATTCATGTTGTATTCCTTCTGTGTACAAAATTTGCTGATAGCTTATTGGAAAGATGGGTTTGTGTTTCCCAAAATAAGGTACTGGGGGATTTGTTTGGAGGTTCGAGAATGGTGATTGCTCTACCAAAAATGTAACCACTGTTTGTTCTCATTATATTCAGGATCTCTCCCTCCACCTCCACCTCCACTAACCCGAAATGGAAGTACTTCCAGGGCACTGCCAGCTACTCCCCAGCTTCCCACAAGAGGAGGATTTGAAAAACCCAGAGCCGGGGCTGCGCCCCCACTTCCTCCTGACAGGCCAGGTTCTGGAGCACCACCACCTCCTCCTCCACCACTACCCTCATCTGCCCTCCGAAATGGATTCCAGGATTCATCCTGTGATGGTGAGTGATGTTATTCCTGTTTGGATATTATCTGAATGCATAGTCTCCGATTTATCAATGGAGTAGTGGGAAAATGTGATGTGTGATCCTCACATATACAACAACGGGTACAGTTAGAACAGCTTTCTTGCATTCTGGAAGGAACTCTATATTCCTTCCAGCGAGAGAAGAATTTTCCATATACACAAGGACTCTTGCAGACATAGAAAGCAAGAGGGGCAACAAATGATCCCAAATGCCATCAGAGAGGCCTCTATGGAACCAACTTGCCTTGAGGTTATGGTAGAAGAAGCAAAAACAGATTAGTTGATTAGCCACCATCCTGCTCATGATGGTTGTTCCTCTTTGACTTATATATCTATCTCATTTCCCAGGGTCCTACATAAATCAGGCATTATACAATATCTGGCTTTAGATTTACAATAAAAAAGAAAGTGACAATAAAGAGAAAACAAGAGAGCAGTAGTTGATTCAGTTATGCAGTTGGATGAGACTTTACTTCAGATTTGCACAACATTTATTCTCCTTTTGGCCACCTTCCCTTTGCTTGAACTTTTCTTGCTTATTCTCCCATCTCCAGAGGACAGGAGAGGGAGGAACAACCATCATGAGCAGGATGGTGGCTAATCACCAATCCGTTTATGCTTCTTCTCCCATAGCCTCAAGGCAAGATGGTTCCATAGAGGTCTCTCTGATGGTATGTGGGATCATTTGTTCTCCTTCTTGCTTTTATCACCGTGTCTGCAAGAGTCCTTGTGTTTATGGAAAATTCTTCTCTCACTGGAAGGAATGTAGAATTCCTTCCAGAATGCAAGAAAGCTGTTCCAAATGTTTGGTGAGAGCTCTCTATACCTGTCGTTGCATATGTGAGGATCTCCGATCATATTTTTCCACCACTCCATTCATATAATAGTCAAAGTAGGCTAGATGAAAAAATACTGAAACTTTTTATAAGTAAAGGATGTTTCATTTTCAGTGTAAACACAGATGATGAAGGAAACAGATCTCTGTACCACCTTAGAATTTATATTAGTCCTTGTATTTTATTCATGAAATGTGTACATCTTGCTAGAGGTAAAAACTGTAAGAGAAGCTGTGCCTGCCCTCTAGGATCAGTTATATTACAGAGCATTGTTGCTGCAAGGATGTTAGAAATGTTTTGATGAATAAATATTAGATGTTGTAAGCTCACATGCCATTAGTAATATTTTCATATGGTTTCTGACCAATGCCAGACTGGTTTTACATATGTGGACTGAGTGAAGTTAATGAGAAGGAAAAGAGGAGGTAAAAGGAATTTAGTGTTCTTTCAGTTAAACATATTTGTAATAATAATATGAAAATTGCTCAGAGGCAAAATAAAAGTATGGACAGTGATGAAACAATTTGGGGAAAAACCTGGTACGTTCAAGACATGTTGGATGTCAGCCTACCCTGAATCAGAGGAATGTACTTCTGCTGAGAAAAGAAAGTGATTTGAAGCTAAAGATGTTCCAATATTTGGAAATATAATAATGCTATCCTGTACATGTCTCATGAAGGCTTATTCCCATTTGGATGGACTCCCATTTTAGGATTGGTTTACAGAATATACACTCTGTTGAATAATATGTCATCAATCCAATGTTTTCCAAAATGTAGGAGTCAGTTTTAATGGAATGCTCTTGAATGAGCATATTAGTGAGATTTGTATTAACATGATTTGTCTTATGTATACAATAATGTTACACAATTCTTTTATGCGTACCTAGATGAGTGGGAAAGCAGATTTTCCTTCCATCCTCTGTCTGACTTGCCACCTCCAGAGCCATATGTGCCTATGAACAAGAGTTATCCTAGTAAATTGGCAAAAAATGACAATAGAAGTAAGTAGTATGTATTTTTTTCCTTTAGTTAGTATGTTTTATAGTAGTGTATTTGGCAAGTTATTTCTGTGAAGTATTTTGAATGCTTAGAAGATGCTCCATAAATATTGAGTATAATTATTTTTGGTAAGACCATGGAAGGAGTACCAGTGATCTCAACCTGAGTGGCTCTGGTTTTGCTCTCTTCCCCAAAGGGTTATCTCAGAGATCCAATTGGATAGCCCAGTAGGTTGCTAGGTTAGTCAGATAAATTGGCCATAGATTACTCATAGGTGCCAGGCAGACCTACCTCAACCCACTTCTATTTCCTGAGAAACCAGATGCCTCCTGTCTCAAGGTAAGCAGCCAAAGATGGAGGAACAACATTGCACTGCTTTCTCTGCCTGTCTTATCCTACTGTAGATAGTGGGGAAGGGAGGAGCACAAACCACTAGCTGTGAAGAAGAGATCAAGTAAACAGAGAAAACCAATACATACAGACATAGCCAGCAAACTCCTGTTCACTGCAGTTCCTCCACTTTTGCTCATCCTTCAGAATTGTCAGCAGATAAAATGACTGTTCTTCATGTGGTGACTCACTCTAATTCTGCATCATTTGTGCATCTGATGTGCACCAGAGGGCATAATAATAAAATCTTAAGTTAACTAGATTTTAGAAAAATCTAAACATTTACACTGGTGAGAAATGATACTACTGTCATACTGCTCTCATGCATCATAAAAACTGTTGCTAGCTCTCAGCTTAGTGTTTAGTAGAATGTAAGTTACAGTACAATTTTTATACTGTAATTGCAAAAGGGTGCTCTTTATCCATGTATAATTTTAAACACAGTCATTTAATCAAAGTTTAATACTAAAAGGTTATAATCTGCAAAGTATGTTCTGGGCCATAAAGTGCTTATATGAACTAATTTTTTTTTCCTTTCAGATTTCTTCTATTCTGAAAAACATAATTTGTCTTCCCTTTTTGTGGGGAGGAAGGGTTAGCTAGACAGTAATGCTATATTTAAGGATGCCATAATCCTGCTGTGCCACTAGATGTCTCCAAATGACTTTCAAAATCATGATAGCCAAACCGTGAAAGATTGACTAATTTGAACTTTTAAAGAATAATTTATTTTTAATGAGATTGCTTTTATATTTTTATAGCTGACAACAGATTGACTAATTTGAACTTTTAAAGAATAATTTATTTTTAATGAGATTGCTTTTATATTTTTATAGCTGACAACAGATTGACTAATTTGAACTTTTAAAGAATAATTTATTTTTAATGAGATTGCTTTTATATTTTTATAGCTGACAACAGATTGACTAATTTGAACTTTTAAAGAATAATTTATTTTTAATGAGATTGCTTTTATATTTTTATAGCTGACAACATTGTATGAAGTTGCATGATGGTGCCTACCCCCTGGAAAGACTGCCATCTGCAGGAGCGTGCTGTTTTCATCAGAATGGTGAAAGTGTCATGGCACCACACCGTAGACTCTGCCCCTTTCATACTTGTGTGCAGTGTCACAGTGCACTTACAGAAGGGGCAGGTTTTGAGTGCTGGTGCTGGAATGCTTTCAAAATTCTGCCCTCCCTTGCTCGCTCCCTATGGATGCCACTGTTGCTGACTCACAAGCTGTAGTTTCACCACTTAATCAGATTGCCCTGGCCTTTTTTGTGTGGGGGTGTTCATGTTTCAATATGGAGAACTTGGCCCCTTGACATGTTTCAGGAAATAGTGTGTTCATCTACACACAGTAAAACATTTTCTATATTGTGAAGTGTTGATTCCTGTCTTACTGCTATCCTCAGAGTAAGAAGCTTTTTAAATATTGAATAATCCATAAATCATGTCACATTTAGCTAAGGTGACCTTAAAAGAAGGTCCTATAGGTTTAATTTTTCTTACCTGTTTCATCCAACAAAGAACACAATTGTGATAAATCTGTCAATAAAAGATTACTGTGAGATTTGCTTTCTCTTTCTTTAGGTGGATCCTGTCGCAGAGAAAGAGGTGCTCCACCACTTCCACCAATCCCACGGTGAAGTGGCCTTCTAATTCCTTTCAGGATGACTGTTATCCTTACATGTTTCTTGAACCTCTCCATGCATTCAGAATGCTCTTTCTCCTACAGCACTTTTGAGCACAACTCCCCACCTTTAGGTCAAGTTATTTCTTTTTATTTTCCCATTTAATTTGGTGAAGCTGAAGGACTTGCTTTGGATGGCCTGCCTACCTTGGTTTAGATACAGGCTGGCTGTGATCTTATTCCCCATTTCTTGGCATTAAGTTCTACTGGTACTAGTGGAACTTGCTTCCAATAAAGTGCTCTGGGCCTGGGTGGACTATAGTATTCTTGCCTTGAAAACTATCTTTGAAACTTGTTGGAAACTATCGTTCGGTGCAGTTCTGCTCAGCCTTGTCATCAACAAGGAGAGAAAAGCTGCCTTGGCTTATAGCACAATATTCTTAGACGTAATTCCTAGAGATGAAAATCTTCCATATTTCTATGCATGGAAACTTGGTTCACTTTTTAAACTGTAATCTCTGTGAAATTACTGATCAATTTGATCTGGCCCGTTTGACCATTAAAAAAATGTGGCACAGTAATTGCTACATTCCACCTCTAGAAGGAAATTGGGATAATTATGTGACAATTTCTCAGGCAATCTGTTTGATCTGTAATGAATTGTAGCCTTTCAGAGACCAAAAGAATGTTGCCATCAAGATCGCTTATAACTCCGGTTACAGCTTTCACAAATTCATCTCAGTCTAGCTGCTGGGCTCAATTGGATTGAAGTGGAGAATTGAAAAAGACTGTGCACTCGGTCATTAGGTTGGAATGCTGGAAGTGTCGTTGTCATCTTGAGGATTACACCATCACTTCACTAATGGTTATACTATCAGACCTCCCTTCTGAGATGTGTCTTACCCCAAAGCCTCCCATTTATATGTTATGTCGTTTACTATACCAACCTGTATTTTGATCCACAAAAGACAGATACTCAAGAATTATTTCGTGCACCCAAGTATCAAAGAATGCCACTAAGACTTTCTGTGACTTTTTGCTAACATCTGTATCCTGAACCTCCATTTTTATTATGGTACAAGTTGAAACTTTTGAGTATGGTAAGTTTTTATTTGGCTCATATATGCTTCAAACAGCTTTTCTTTCCTTTTGTGTGGCAGTTACTAATCAAACATCCTTCTTACCTTTTTTTTTTACTGTCTCTTCTGAATGGTGTGCAAATGTGATTTATCTCTATGTGTGTATTAATGGCTGATTTGTCTGAATGCCAAGCTTCCAGGAATTCCCTAGCGTTTTTGGATTTAGCTTGGTCTAGGATGCTCACAGTTTCTATCCAACTGGGAAACTATTGGAAACTGGAAGCTAATCAGCTGGGAAACTGAGCATCCTGTGAGATAAACTACATTTACTCACCATTCAAGAGAGACAATAAAAAAACGCTAAGAAGGAAACAAAAAGACCAGAACACATCCTCTCCAGCAACCAACAACCAGATAAGCAGGGATTAACACCAGACAAACCACCAAGCAGAAAACAATACCCTAATCAAGGAACTACCAAGGAGAAAACCATACCCCCACCAACACTGGCAGGGCAAGCTACTGTACCTAGACAGGGAGCAAAACCCACACCCACTAGCACTGATCATGTTACCTAGTCAGGTAATGAAACGTCTGCAAGCAAACAACCAAGCTCAGAGAGCACCAAGAACTTTGCAAATACAACTTTGCATTTTCAATATATGAATATATAGTTTTTAAGTTTACTTTTTTGGATTAAAATAGGCTTTGTCTTAATGTTGAGGTTCATTCTTTACTTCTGTGATGGAATGAGTACCTTTCAGGATCCAAAGACTATCCACACAAATTTTGCTATCAAATCATAGATTTACACAAAGTACAATCAGAAATATGTTGCAGCACTTTTCAGGGTCATACATGGTCTACAGTTGGAATTTTCTGTGGACTATTGCCCTTTTTGTATGTACTTAATAATTCTGACATACATACAGTATTAATCATTCCAGTTTCAGCCTGATTTCCCTTGTACAGTATATATGTGTGGATTATAAACAACTTCAACATGATGTAAAAAAATTGAATGATTATTTACATTTTGTTGCAGAAACTGGAATATTTGTTTTCTGTATTACACAGAGCTTGTTTTTTTTTAATGCTCCAAGATCTCTGCATCTTTTATATGTAGTTTGATAGTCGATTTCTTTTTTTAGCATGTAAAGTGAATATGGCAGAAAGGAATTCCAAATCCACTGCAATTACAGTAGTTAATGTAATAGAACATTTTGAGCTAGAAATGTTGGACAAACTGATTTATCAATGAAAGAGCCTGTCGTACCTGTACTCATTCACTTTTGTGCTAGTGGATTAGCCATTAAATTAATAAGGTTATAGAGCAGTGTTCTTTTGCCAATAAATCAGGATCAGTTTTCTTCAACTTGGTGCCTTCTAGCTCTAATGGGATGACAATTCCAAATCTCAGATCTTTCTTGACCATTGCTGATTAGGAGTTATGGGAGTTGTAGTCCAGCAAGAACAAGTTTAGGAAAAGCTAGCCAAGATATGGAGATGTGAAGAAGTATATTCAGCCAGGAATAGAAAGAGCAGGCAAATAATAAAAATGCCGTTGGTGCACTTCGTTATTTTACTTTACTGTGCTTAGTTATAAGCACATACCAGATAAAATTGCTTACTATAACTACTATTATTACTACTACTAAACTGCCATTTCTATGACATTTAGAAAAGTAGATCCATCTTTTTTTTTTACTATTAATTGATTGAAGAATAAACTTGGCAAATTAATTCTAGTGCAATATGATCTGAAATTCCAACCAAAGCCTTAACATTTAGAATGTGATGTGGCCTTCAGAGAGAAACTAGGGCTTCTCTCTTTCTCAGAGGATAATTTGTTAGCACTTTCTCTTCTATAGGAATCTTCTTCAAAGAGTATATGTTAAATATTGTTAAGAAAATGTTTCAAAGGAGAAAAGATTTGTTTTGGTGGTGTAAACCACATCTCTTTTTCGTTCACCAGATATATTTTAAAAACAAGTTTAACACATTTTAGTATAGATATTTTAGAGTACATATTTATTTGACTATGCACAGTAATTAAACAGGGGAAAATAAAATCAGATTTTCACCAATGGTGCCTTGAACCATTTTTAAAACTACTTTTAAAGTGTCCAAATGGCTGCTTTGAAAAGAAACAAGATCTTGTATCTTATTTTCTCCAGCCCCACTGTGAATTTCAAATATAAAATTTGTACTTTCTATATCATGTGTGATATTCAAGCAACATACGACCTATTCACTATGTAGCATCTAATCTTAAAAGCTTACTATACAGAAATATAATGAATTGCATAAGACTTATCAGACTGCAATTTTAAGAACTTTATTCTAGCAGTGCCTTGGATGGATTGATCAATGGAAATTTGAGGTGGGTGTGTTTAAAATTGGAAAGGGCCCAAAGTTTAAATCCTTTTCATATGAATGAAAGAATCAAATGGGTTGTGAAATAACAGAATATGGATTTTAAATATATGATCAATGCCCCCTTTTTTATAAGATTGCACATATATCACGGAATAAAACATGCCCATATTGTAAATAAGATTGTTTTTATTTGACTTTACTTTGGGTTATTAACATGCTTATCTTAAAGTACATACGAGAAACTAGGGATGGCAAGTGAATCTCTTGTATGTGCAAAGGAATAAAAACTAAAATGATGCAAATGTTTGTCAGATGGAGCTATATTTGCATTTGTTACATGTAAAATGTGGGTTGATAAACCTCCTGGATTAGAACCTCATGATTAAGAGGCCACCAAAGGACAAATACTTCAGTGGGACTGTATACACGATGCGGAATTCAGCGCAGTCCTCTTTGATAGTGCCGGTTTACTTATGATTATTATACTTAGATATCCTTCCCATCTCCCAGAATTGTATTATCTCCATCTAAAAATGTTGTTTTGTTGTTTAAGAGATTCAATTGATACATTAAATCTATATAAGCTTAAGATTCTGCTTTTCATTTTAAAACGTCTACATATTTAGATTTTAACAAAACTCCACAAGCTGATTCCTGTTTCACTTTGAAAACTGACCACTAGATGATGCTCTTTTGTTTGTTTTACTTAAGACCTCTACGCTGTACAGGTAGTCCTTGCTTAACAACCCTAATTGGGACCAGCAAACAAGCGAAGTGGTCGTTAAGCAAATCATCATATGACCAGCTCACTTAACAATGACAGTCCTGGTTGCAGTGGTTAAGTGAATCATCCGTGGTTATTAAGTGAGACATGTGACCACGACTTGTAGCCTCCTGCCGGCTTCCCCATTGACTTTGCTTGTTAGAAGCTGGCTGGAAAGTTCACAAATGGCAACCAGGTGACTGTGGGGACACTGCAATGGTAATAAGTGAAAAATCACTTTTTTCAGCACTGGTGTAACTTCAAACAGTCGCTAAACAGATGGTCATTAAGCAAGGACTACGTGTAATAAAAATTAGCAACATCCAGTTTGCTTATTTTGAAATCAATAAGGGAAACCCATGGCAAGTGAAATGTCAATGGGCCTCCTCAACTAAGTAACTGGCAATTTGTTTTAAATTTGCCATATGCTAACATACCCTGCTTGATGTTACGGAATACAGTCAGGTGTCTGGATAATATTTATTTATTTAAAAAAAAAATTAAACCACTGTTTAAATTTTAAATAGCCAAAATTCTCTGGGCAATTTACAGTAAACCACACAAGTGTATTACAAATGTAATTCAAGTTAAAATTTTTACAATGAAATCAAATAAAATGCAAAATAAAAACACTATACAAACTAGGCAGCAGCGTGGCCATCAACATTTAAAATAATATGAATTAAAATACAGTTTAAAAGCTTGGGAAAATAGAAAGGTTTTCACCTCATGCCAAAATGATTCCAATGGCACCAGTTGAGCCTCTTTAGGGAGGGAATTCCATAAATGGGGTGCTACCACAAAAATAGCTCTCCCCCTTACAGAGACCTACTTCGCCTCCTTTGATGGGGGACTTGAAGGAGGGCCTCATTGGAAGATCTTAAGGTTCAAGGAGCTACATGTAGGAAAAGGCACCGTTGCACCACAAAACGGGTCTGAGCTTGGTGCCGAAGCCAAAAGACATCCAAACACGAGGTGCAGAATGAAGGGTTGCTTTTATTAAGGTACCAGAACAAAAGGACTCCAGCCTGTAAGGTGGCAGGAGCCCTGAATACAATTTGGTCGCAATCTTTATGCTTCTCAAATTCCTTCCCTGGCTCTTCATTGGTCAGGTACTATGGGGTACACAACCTATCAGATACGCCAAATACAACTTCCGTTTGTCCCACCTTAGTTTACATCTCCCACTACTCTCCTCTGAAGACCCTTGCCCTTATTTACAGTTATCCATATTTGGGGCTTTTGTCTATGTGTCACTTTAAAGGCTATTGTGTCCTTACAGGCTGCGGTTAAACGGTTAAACGGACATCACCCTGTCATATCTATCTACATACTTCTCCTTTCCCCACGGCGCAAGCTGCTCTAAGCCTGTATCTAAATTTCACACATCCTGTTTTCCAGGTCGTGGGCCCTCGTGCAAGCGTTCCAGCATGTTATCTCCCCCCCCCCAACAGCTGCCCCAACAGCAGGCGGTCAGGCTCATTCCTCTTCAAACTGGCGTTGGTATGGCCTTAACTCCACATAGGAACCGGGAGGGGGGGGAGATTAACCCCCTTCTTCTGACCCTTCAGCACTTCCTCAAGTAACCTGGTCCTAAGCTGTTTAGGGCTTTAAAGGTCAAAAGCAGCACTTTGAATTGGGGCTGGAAACCAACTAGCAGCCCGTGTAGATGGGAAAATACTGGCATAATATGTTCATATCAGTTAGGCCCAGTGAGCAGTCTAGACTCTCCGTTTTGAATCAACTGAAGTCCCCAAACTATTTTTAAAGGCAGCCGTACATACAACACATTGCAGTAATCCAACTGGGAAATTACCAGAGTCCGAATAATTGCTGTAAACTGTCTCAGTCCAGGTAAGGTCACAGCTGTTAAATCAGCTGAAGCTGATAAAAGGGCCACGAATGCCACCTCTAGTAACACTGATGGATCTAGGACCATACTCAAATATGTGCCACAGGGGTCAGTGCTTTCACCGCTCCTATTTAATATCTACATGAAGCCGCTGGGTGAGATCATCCGGCGCCAGGGG